ATGCTTAGCAACAATTAGTAGAGGACCGCAAGGGAAGCTGCTGCTCTGCTCAACGCACTAACTAACGCTGACAGAGGTTTAGTAAAAGCGACATCGATGGACAATAGAGCACTAAGTAATTTGTAACCAAGCGAGTAACATCGCCATAAAGTGTAAAAAGTTACTAAATAAATAAAAAAGGAAATCACATAGTCCTTTAATTTATACATTGTTCGTTCGAGTGATGACATAAACGTTGGTTGGGAATTCGACGCATGCGGAGAATTTTTCACATTATTTTGTAGCTCATGCACACTCACGAGTCTCTCAATAGTTTTTTCGAGAGCTGACAAACGCTGAACCATTGTTTCCTTATAAACACTTACACTTTCATTTTCTTTATTTATATGATCATCCAATCTTTGCGCCAGTTGTACCGTTGTAAAAACATAAAAGTAACAAAAGAATCATATGGTCGTCAACAGCTGAGATCACCTGATCGAAATAGTTGATTTTTCGGCACAGAGATTTAAATAAAAGGACTTAAAAATAGTAAAGGGGTTGCAGTATAGGCGCGTTAGCAATATTTTTTGGTGTTAGGTGTTAGGTTCCCCAAGAGAAATATTTTCACACATATAAAATATACAATACCAAAAAAAACTATTTGTAATAATGTAAACAAAAATAGAAAGATTCTTCAAATATTTTTAATAAAATAGAAAAGATTTACCAATATTTTGATACAATAAATAAATTTTAATCAAAACTAGATAAATTTAATCTATATGAACTTTAATAATCGAAGTATAATCGAATAGTCCTATAAATAATAAATTAGATAGCATAACACGGATCGTGCCTTTTCTAAGGCATTTGGTCGTTTTAGTAGTAGAATATTTAGGAAACCCTAACTAACTGCCTGGGCTTTTGCCCTGAGTCTTCCCTCATTCCATTGCATTTTTAATGTAATCTCTGTCATTCTGCAAGCTTTCGCCTGTGCATGTATGGGTGACAATGATAGGATTTGTTACTTGTAGGTTTATACAATGAGTTGGTCTTTGGTGCCAGACGTAGGCATGGACAATATGACACAATACTCTTTGATTCGAGAGAGAGCTGTCAGAGCTCGCATTTTTTATAACATTTGCCAATGATGCCACTGCTGAAAAATATTAGATTGGGTATTTAATAAACTATACAAAGCACTAAATTAAACACTTTAAAAATGCGTACATATATAAATGCTAAAATGCAAAATCATTAATTAATTTACATTATCATTTATTTTGCCTAAATATGTTCTCACAGTTCAATGAAATTTCATTTCACACTAATTTCGTCTGGTAATTATAGCGGTTTACTGCTGGCATCCCGCCAATTCCCTGATCTCCTTGGCTGTCAAATAATCAGTGAACGCGTTTGAGAGAAAAATGAGAGCCAATGCCAGAGTCTCGTACCATGAGAGGATGGTACAGTACAGTGTTGGTGAGCACGAAAAAAAGTAGCCCAGTGAGAAATCGGAATTTAAATTAATCAAAAAAATATATTTTTTTCTTTAAAAAGACATTTTCGTTCTTTTTCATCCAAATAATTGATAGTTAAATTAACAAAATGTCTTTTAAGGATATATTCCTTATTATCTTTAAAAGACTTGGAACACATAAGGCATTGCATGGCAAAGCCATTTAGAATCATAAAATATTTCTCGCAGGGCATATTTGGTTTTGCGCTATAGTCTTGCGCGATGTTAATTCGTTGCTGGCTCCATAGATAACAGAGATAATGAGATCCTCAACTCCTCTCTCACTGGAAGTGAGAGACTAATTGCTAAACGTCAAAACCTAAGGAACTTTGACGGTTGATTGGATTGAGTAGGTTTTGACGTTTTGCAATTATAATCAGAGAACGTATAATATAGAGAAGGTTAACTACGGACAAGCGTGTGAACTGTCAAGAGCCATGAATTTTCTATTAGTGGATTTCACCACTTTTGGCTCGGCAGGAGAAAATTTAAGAGAAATGAGTGAACAGAGCTGAGAATTCAATGAGAATTATGCTCTGAAATATACATTACTTTTACAGGCGCCTGTTGGCCTTTTGGCTTATATTTTTATAC